CCTGACGCACCAGCAGAAGGTGCTGCGGCTCTACAAGAAGTCTCTGCGGCACCTGGAGTCCTGGTGCATCTACCGGTGAGAGGGGAAGGAAGGGGGGCCTGGGGAGGAGGGAGAGGCCTGTTCTTCCTACGGACGGCGCCTCTCAGCTCCGTACTTGGGGGGGGGGCGGGGGTTGGCCTGCTCTGCTCTGGCAGCCGCCCTTGCTGAGACGGGGCCTCCAGCTCGACTGGGGCTTTGTCCTCTTCCCTTTCCCTCAAGCGTGCCTGAAGGGGTGAGGAAAAAGCTTCTCGGGTCACTTGCTTGTATATGCTGCACAGGAGCTCCTCAGGGGCCCCTGACCAAACCCTGTCTTTGCACAGGGGTGGTGTTGCCAAGCTTTGCTTCTGTATGTGACTCGCCCTTGCTGAGACGGGGCCTCCAGCTCGACTGGGGCTTTGTCCTCTTCCCTTTCCCTCAAGCGTGCCTGAAGGGGTGAGGAAAAAGCTTCTCGGGTCACTTGCTTGTATATGCTGCACAGGAGCTCCTCAGGGGCCCCTGACCAAACCCTGTCTTTGCACAGGGGTGGTGTTGCCAAGCTTTGCTTCTGTATGTGACTAGTTTTTTTTTTCTCCCCATTACTGTACTTAATCTCTGTCTGTAGAGACAAGTATCGCTACTTTGCCTGCCTCCTGAGAGAACGATTCGATAAGAACAAGGATGTGAAGGATATGGTGAAAGCTACAGAGCTACTGAAGGCAGGCGAGGAGGAGTTCTGGGCAAACCAGCATCCTCAGCCATACATCTTCCCTGACTCCCCCGGGGGCACTTCCTATGAGAGATATGAATGCTACAAGGTAAGGTGGCCTGTAAGGTTGTGTGTATCACTGTGCTTATCTTACTCTTTTTAGTAAAAGGAGAGGGAGAGCTTTAAGTAGGTTTTCTTAAGGCAACAGATTGACTCAGCAGTATTGTTTCTTTAATAGTTTACTGCTGCTGAACATCTTGCTGCTTGCATGGGAGAAGCTGTCCTGCTTGTCTGATCCTTGAAAATAGAATTTGCTGGTCCGTGTCAAGACAGCTAGCTTCTTTTTGCTGTGATAATCATCTGTTCTTTTGCCAAAGGGAGGCTGCTGCATGATGGGTCAGGCAGGCACAGTGAAAAGGTTGGAGCTGAGCTGTGAGAGTAAACAAGGCGGAGGAAGCTGTGCTACTCTTTGTGGTGCTGTCTGGTCAGAGCCTTGGTTTCTCTCTGGTCTTGTCAGATGTTGGCTTTACTGTTGGGGGACTTTTCTTCGCTCAGTCCCATTGTTCTTCAGCATTTTGAGTAATGGTAGAAATTACCATTTCCTTTCACATGCTGTAATGCCAGATATGTATTTGTGTGTCGCTGTGTGATAGGTGGTATGTCTAAAAATAGAATCAGTATTCTTAGAATCTAAGGCACTTCTTGAGACTTCCCCCCCTCCCCCAGATTGTTCTATTTAGGAACAAAGAAACAAGTTTCATAGAAAAAGAGTTTCCGAGTTCTTGGCAACAGCTCCTAATGCATAAGGGGGGGTTAATACTAACCTAGAGAGTGTGTGCACCCATTTTCTTCTGAATTTGAAGAAAGTGAATACACAAGACTAGATCTGATCAGATCTTTACATATAAGAAGCCATGTGAAAGGAAGAATCTGACACAGATTTATCAGAGGCAGAAGAGAGAACATACGAGTGAAAAGGGCAGAGGAGGACTTAAGCTTATGGCAAGGTCGTGGGCCTTAGCAGTAATAGAGATAATAGTGAGAGAGAATCTGGACAGAAAAAAGGCCAGCTGAGCAGTAAATGATCAAGATTAGTCTTCATATAGAAATATAAAATGGTTTATGTTCCCTTTTCTTTGCCCTGTTTGATATGCTAAAACTGTCTTAACAAAATGGCTGTTACAAGGATTTGGATTGTTATCAGTGACTGTCCATTGTGGATGCTGCTACAAAATGTAATTTTCAGATCTCGGTTTGTTTGATGGTTTTAATTGTTATTTGGTGCATGTGGATTTTTTTTTTATATATTCTTATTAGCAGCTTTGCTATTTCTGTTCAGTCAAAGGTTTACTTAGTGATGAGAATTAGAGCAGGAAACTGGGAATGTAAATGTCACAGAATGAATGATGGTATTGGACCAACTTTTACATTTTCTTTTTTTAAGAATTTTTTGGGGGGGGGTGTTGTCGTTTATTTTTTTTAATATATGTTCCTGTCTTTAAAATGTTAACATTCAGTGATATGCTGCTTCAAAACTTTAAATCTAGCTTTTTTTTTTTTTTTTTTCTTGACTGGACATCTTAGAGGTCAGACCATTATCAAGATCTTAAAGGCCATTAATTTTTTCAGTAGTAGACAAGTGGAAATGAACTGTAGGGTTCTGTCTCTGTTAAAGAAAATTAATTAGTAGGTGGAGAAAAGGATCTCTTTAACCTGCTGCCTTTGGGAGAAGGAAGGGAAGAAATGAGATCTGTTCTTCCACCAGTTAGAATTATTTTGAGAACTTTTAGAGTAAACTGAGATGACCTGGGACTTCTCATTGGGATGCTATGATTTAATCAAGTCACTCTGATGTCTTCCTATGACTTAGGATAATGTGTGAAACAAAGATTAAAAGTACCGACCTCTGCCATACAATGCCTTGAGCCTAACAATAGTCAGGTAGCTCTTAAATGGGGGGTTTATGTAGTACTTTATTTCCTGGGTTATTTATCCATTTTAATACTGGCTTCAGTGATTGCATTTAGTTCTTTTGTGTGTGTACTATATATGATTTAATAAGTAAAAATAATACATATGAAACTTTCCTAAACTTTCCTTTTTTTTTTTTTTTTTAACAGATTCCTGAATGGTGCTTGGATTTCTGGCATCCTTCTGAGAAGGCAATGTATCCTGATTACTTTGCCAAACGAGAGCAATGGAAGAAGCTGCAGCGGGAGAGCTGGGAGAAAGAGGTCAGTGCTTGCTCAATGCTAAGTAAAGTGTCTTTAGCACACAAGTATTTTGTGTGACATTTAGATGTGTTCTTGGAAAATATCTGAAGGCCTGCTGTGATCTCATTTAGACTCTGTTTTGATTTATCTTTTTTTTTTTTTTTTTCCCACTCTCATCGGTGTGAAACACTGACTTGACCTAAAATGCCCATACAGAGATCTGAGAGTTACAGCTTCTTAAAGGCTCTGAAGGGCATTTAAAGTTAAAGCTGAACATGAACCATGTTTCAGGTAGTGCAGGCTGTTGTAGCAGCTTTGCTACAGGAAATTCCAAAGGGATGAGGAGAGATTAATGACCACAGAATTCCTCTTCTGCTGTTTTGAAGTTCTGACGCTTTCTGGTTGTACCTTTGAAAGTGACTTACCGCAGTGTTCATTGGTTGGGGATTGAGAATAATTTCTGGCCAACCTAAACTGACATTCAGTTGGAAAAAATTGGTGTTCTTACAGTAGTTCTTTAATTCAGTTGTAGAAAAATAGTCGGGTAGTATGTAGTATGGCACTCTTACCAGAAGTAGCATAGTGGCAGCCAGCACTTGCACTGCTGCAAGAAACCTGTATTGAAAACATCTAGAGGGCTGTTGGTGGCATGCAGAGATAGTGGTCTCCTACTCACTGGGATGGGAGTTGTTTAGGACCTGTAATTATTTGGCAGCTTTGAAAGCAGCAAGAGAATGCTGTCTGTTTAATGTAGCAATGGCACATATGAATTACTTGGAACTAATGGCCTTTTCAGTAAAAAATTCTCTTGTAAGTCACTTTTTATGCCTAAAAATTCCTTCTTAATTAGGTATTACGAGCCTGCAATGATTACTGAGTTTAAGTGAATACTGAGAAAGAGGAAAGCTGTGCGCCAGCTGAAGGCGTTACTGCTGGTTTGTCCCTTCTGAAATTCAGGAGGCCAGTTTCGCTTTCTGCCTGGGCACTGGATAGGACGTGATGGAAATGTGCTTACATGTACTGAAGCGTCTTATGTCTTGTCTTCTAGATTAAGCAGTTAGAAGAAGAAACTCCAGCTGATGGTCCAAGAACTGAAGCTTTGCCTCCAGCTCGTAAGGAAGGGCATCTGCCACCACTGTGGTGGCAGTATGTTACAAGACCTCGTGAAATTCCCATGTAAAAGCATTATTTCATGAGAATTGAAACAGCCTATCTTCTGTAGGCAGTAGACATGTCAGTGACTGCATGCTACTCTAAGATATACAAAATAAAGCCAAATAAAGTAAAAGTAAAAGAGAAGGCATTTTTATGGTGTACTGTTCTTCTATAGCGTGCATGCGCTTCCCTTCCAGATTTGCAGTGTACAACAGATGACTGTTAAATCTACATTCTGTACCTACAATGTCAGGGAACACTGACCGGCCTGTGAAGAAGTCTGGATGGGATACTAACTCCAGAGCACGTTTTCATAAAGGTGAATGTGTATTGCAGCTTTCATAGTCAGAAAACTCAACTATGAGACTGAAAATGGCCAGATAAAACTCATGTTCCCAGGGAAAGAATGTGAGCTTAAAGGGGCAGGAGGAACAGATTTACTGGGGGACTGGATGGAATGACAACCAATTCAACTGGGACTAACTGGTGTGGAGAAGTGGGGAGGGAAAGGGGCCTGGAGGGAGTGGATGAAAATTAATAAACAATTTGCATCGGCCTGATACTTTGGAATCTGGTACTACATACAGGCAAGGTGGTACATGTGCTATAGCTGGAGCTTTGAGCTACTGCCAGCAACAGACATGGGCTTTGGTTCCTCCTGGCGTGAGGGTATCTAACCTTGCTTCTTGCCCTCCCTCCCCACCTCCTCAGGCTCTTTGCTGCATTTTTCACTTGTCCATCACATCTCACAATACATAAACCTTCCTCACACTGGCATGTTTTCTTGCTGCCATGAAGAATGTTGCTGTAGAGCACCAGCAGAAAGTTCATCCTCGTGTGAACTAAATCGTAGAAAGCTACCGAGCTCTGTCCGTTAAAACAAGTACCCTGCTGAGGCGTGGGGCTCTTCTGTGCTCGTGCATGGACAGCTCTAGTAGGCAGTGCGATACCGTGAACTAGGTACAAAAGCTGTTTGCTTCCAGCGATATTCCCAAAGCATCGATGCAAGACAGGAAATTTCATTAGGACTTCCACTAACCTCCCAGTGAGTAAGAGAACAGGTGGGATATCAACACCGAGTAAAGTAGAACACCCAGTGGGTCTTCTATTCAGACAAACATAAGCTTACAAAGACTGTCCTCTCTCCCTGCGCCTCACCTGCCACCAAACCTCTATTCCTGTGCTTTGCTTCTCTGGTAACTATATTCAGAAATCATGTAAACACTGAAATACCCCTTTTTTAATTAGGTGCCATTTTGTACCCTCCCTTCCACTCAGCCAACCAACCACAAGGTTTCTTTGGCTAGAAAACAGAGCACAAAGTCCCTCCTGATTTTCACAAACACCTGAGCAGGTCTGACTGATGTTCCCTAACACAATGGATAACCCACATCCCAGCATTAAAAACAACAAAAAAAGAAACATTTTGCGCGTGCGGCTGCAAGCGAATCGAGTTGGCTGTAGAAACAGCAGTGATATGCTTCAAAATGAGGGAACCCGGCCATAGACACAGCCATAGAGAGACGGGGGAACGAAACTAGAAACTTTTGGAGGAAAAACATATTTCCAGCCAAACCACCTTGAGTTTTCCTTTAACGTGTTCATGACAAGTGGAAACCTCTGGACAAAAATGAATCTGTGGCGGTGGCAAGGAAATAAATTAGGCCGCTGCATGGTAGCTGCAAGTGGGAGCACCGTCCTGCCTCCCTACCTTTGCTCCTGCCAAAGCTGAACAAAAGAGAGTCTTCAGTCACCGGGGGCGCGTGGGAGACAGCACCGGCGTTGTGCTTGATAAATTCTGGCTGTAAGCACAGGCGGTGTTGACAGCAGCAACTTTCCTCCTCTGGCAAAAGGAACTGCGAGGTTGGGGCTGAAGCAGATGCACAAACGTGTCGCGTTCCCCGTGCTTCCTGGCCAGATCACAACAGTGACAGAGGGACAGAGAGATGTCATCAGTTGTCATTCGGTGAGAATTTCCCTCGTTAGCACCTCACCTTTGTTCTGCCACTACCCTTCCACTATTTTGTGCGCTATATGCCATTTTATTTACTTGGTTTTTAATCCTCTCTCGCTTCTGCTACACGCAGATGGGACCTGTGTGATCTTCGTAAGTCAGATGAAGGACACCATTGATATCCAAAGCTCTGGAAGCAGAAAGTCTTTAAAAAACAAACTACAGAAGTTTTCCAGCAGTTCTTTATTTATAATGTAGGCTTAAGCAATCATTACAATGTAGAAGGGAGACACACTTACAGCAATTATTTATACCAGTTTAGAACAAAAAACTGCACAGGGAGAGGTCAACTCTCAGTACAAACTAGCAACTAAACCACAATAATTTACCATTAGAAACATTTTATTTTTTAGCTGTGACACTGCTTTTACAATATGCAAAAACACAAACAATAGAACTATCCAAAGTGTTTTGTCACATTCTTTCTACATTGAATTTGGCAACATTTTATATTAAATTTTACTGATTATACTAACGTTTAAGAACTAAACAAGTGAAAAGCTGTACTCAGGTACAGTTACATCCATTTATTTCAAAGGTTTAAATAACACTTTTAACTATTGAGATTATCTCCTAGCAGTTTTTGTTTATGCAAAAACCATCTCAAAGCCTCATTTGCACAATGCATCAGCTACTGTATCAAGGTTGGTGGGCTACACCACAGGCACTACTGTTTATTATATTCTGTAATAAGGAGCTTGTTTTTCAAAGAAAGGAAGGTTTAATATTTTCTAAGAATCATGCTTTTTTTTTTTGCTTTTTGCTTTTAAGCCATAACAAAAAAAAAGAAAGGTTAGCAACCACAGCAGTGTAAAATGTTATATAGAACACAGTGACTACACAGTTACTAGAAGTTTCACATCCAATGCAGTTATGTATTAAAGCATAAGAGGTTATGTAGGCAAGTCTAGAGCCAACAGAAATCTGCAGAGCGTCTGGTGGAAACTAGCCCCTTACATGTATTTTTTGGTGCATTTTTAAACAATCCCGGACGCGCGAGTCTGGTGTCCCCCCACGCGTGGGTGTGCTGTGGGTGGGCAGACGGCATCCCTCCAGACTGTCTGATGGGAACACGTGTTGTGCTCCGGGGTCTGCATATTTCTATCAGCTTTAGGAGACGGGTATTGCAGCAATAACTTACTCTTACTTTAAGGAAAAAATCCAACTCTTAATAATTCTATCAACAGCGTTCCAAAAAACATGACTTAAAGTACAAAAAAAGAGAATATAGCGGTCAGGTTCCCGGTATTATCAAAAAAAGAGTATCTCTCCCCACCCCCCACCCTTCACCCCTTTCTTTTCGGTATTTACGAAAAGCCAATCAACTGCCATTTAAAAGAAGTTAAGAAAAACAAGCCCCTGTATTGGAAAGAAACATTTGCAGTTTATTAGATCACAAGCTGGTTACACTTGTCAAATTGTTAAGTGTTTTCTCAAAATATTTGGGCTTTCCCAGGTGCCCAGCCTGCTGGGCACGGTCAGAAAAAGGCATTTTGATAATATCTAAGAACTCCCTGCTTGCATTTTAAAAATGTTTTCACATTTGTAACTGCCTTAAGCCTGTCATCCTTGTTTGTATTCAGTGAAAGGATGAGTGGAACAAAAAGTGAAGGTGGAAGAACGAAGCCTACACAGTTAAGGCTGCATGCATGTGACTGAGAGTTGTTGCTGTGCAGTCGAAAAAGAAACGTGGAAAAAACCCAGTCTTTAAAACACCTTACAGAAACAAAACACTGCAATCCAATATGGCTTATTCTGATGCATTTACCATGAAGCTACTAGTAATTAATCCTACTAGGCTACTTTTGTGCAACAGCATCTGCTATTTTGATGGCATCTCCCTCCCCCCGCTACTCCCCCCCAAATACTCTACCAACTGCAGGTTTCTTCCTTGCATTATATATTGCTTATATTGTCAATTTTTATTCCTGCTTTTCAAACGTTTTTTCTTAATACTCAAATGAGGATCTGTTCCTTACAGTTTGACTTAAACTTTAAAGTAAGTCCCACTGTTTTGTTTTGTTTTTTAACCTCACTATTACAAGGCGCTCTACAAAAGCTTGCAAAAAAGCCAAATTTTCATTAAATCCCTTTGCTGAAGTTAACTACTCGACATTTTTTTTTCTCCTATGATTTAAAACTTTACAAAGAGAGTTATAAAAAAGGTAAATGGGATTTGGCACCTTCAGAAAAAATTAAAAGTGTAACTTAGATCAAAAAAATGCAGAAACAAAATCATTGATATTTACAAATTAAAACACCAGTGAAGATTATGTCTTACTACGCTCTTTCACCTTGTTTTCTCTTTTAGAGTACTTTCAGACTGTCTGTTACCGAGTATCTTAAAAAATTCATTGATTACAGATTGGAATGGATAGAGACAAATTAGTTTCCTCACAGTTCATTCTCGGTGGCTAGTACTCTGGCAGCTTTTCCTCTCCTAGGAAATACGAGGTGCTGAGCGATCGTTCGTGGTCGTCTTCTTCAGTTTGACACCCCGCCGAATGGCGTTCAGCATATCTTCACCTTGCGGGACATCCCCAGGACTCAGCTCTCCGGGATCGAGCTCCAGCTGGCTGCCAGGCGCGAGGGTGCTGACACCATCCCGGTCGCTTTCTTCCCCCTCACTCTCAGGAACCGCTTGCCTCTGCTCGTCGGCGGCACTCAGTTTCTGGCTTGACGGTGGAGGGTTGACGGATGCTTGTCCGCTCCATGAGGATGAGGGCATGCTGGTGACACCTTGCCCACCATCTCCTGCCGCCGGAGACTCGGGACTTTGCTCGGGACATTCTTCTGTCCCAGTGAGGGCGCCGGGCAGCCCCCCTGGGATATCAGGGACAGTTGGTGTTTTGACAGGAATCACTGGTGTCTTGATCGGAATCGGACCTCCCCCTATGGTGCCGCGTCTGACTGAAGGCTTGGTGGAAGGGGTCCGTCTGATGGTGGCGACGCCAGGGGTGACTATGACCGGTCCAAGCGTGGTTGGCAGACCTGCAGTGGAAGCAGGACGCTTGGTTTGAAACATTCTGCGATAGGACTGGCTAATGTCGCTGTTTCTTGGGATGGTGGAAGATTTGTCAAAGTCTTGTTGTTCTGCCTCCTGGTCACCACTCACAGAG